TAACCATGGCTAATATAAAACAGGTACTTACCGCATAATCCGCCGGAGTTATTAGTTTTGCCCCGAATCCTTGCACTCCGTACAATTGTCAAACTAAATTATTAAAATGATTTCCACGTGGAAATAATTTAGGACCGCGGTGAATTTAAGGTAGCTTACTGGAGTACTTTTGTCCGATTTTAACTGTGTAGGCTGTGTATTTAGCCACTTATTACTCTTTATTGCACTCATGTACGTTGTATGGTTCACACTGCGTTCCATATAGTGCCGTAAGTCAGCCTTAAGATCGATGTTACTACTTAAACTGCTATTATAATGCTATTATACTTCTAATGTACAGCCATAGTGAACTTAAGGCTGTCTAATTTGTGCCCAAACTGGTTCAATAAAAGCATTATAGCAAGCTATACAGCTCATATACAGCTGACATACACAGCTTGTAGAGTACATGTGAACGACTAGACATCTTATATAGAACCCCGAATGCTACTTGGGATGTGACCAATGAACGAATAGACGTTTTATTTGAGCAAAATTTAAATAAGATTTTGAAAAAGGGTTAATTCTTCCACCTGGGCAAGTCTCCCGGTTTTCCTGTTCCTAGTAAAGTAAGTTGGTGCAGTTAGTTTGGTTTTTCTATAGCTCTATGAGGTGGTGAGGAGCTAGACGGCGCGAGTGGTAAGCGCACTCGGCTGCGATAGTTGGAGTTAAGCAACTTTCGCAGTGGTCGGTCATTGGATGGGTGACCAAAAATCTTCTATATAGAGTTCCTCCGTGCTTCGGAGGGCACGTTAAGCCGTTAGTCCCGGCCGCATCTGCAATCGTTAGCACCCGCCAATCCGCACTGGGCCCGCGTGGTAGGTCATGGCCCAATCTCCTTATTCCATCCATTGGGAAAGCCTGTGGCCCAGCAGTGGGGACATTAATAGACTGATGATGATGATGATGACATAGCTCTATAAATTGTATGAATTTTTTCCCGACAAATTGAGGGTGGTTGGAACAAAGCTGTTCCTTATACAAATGGAGACCCATCGTATTCAAAGCTGTTCGTTACACAACTGAGACCCATACTATTAACCTAAGAGAAAGTGGCTTTAACCACCGAAACCGCAGTCCAAACGTATATTAAGGTCCTTCTGAAGACTTACTTACGTACTTAACTTTCACCTGTCGTAACATTACAGCGTCGCGTTAATCAAACACTGTGGCAACGACTAATGAAATCTCTAATAAGAGGTCCACTGACCTGGTTACTGGAAATCAGGTATCTATATACAAAGTACGTAATGATTACAAAGTATCGAGCTCGCAAAATGTGGCAAATACTTAGAAACAATCCCGATTCACCTCACAAATCTCTCGCCAGTGTTCTTATAGCCCGTTTTTCTTGCATCTCTTCTGGCCTGCGAAGAAGAGGGAATTTTGGCTGTGAATGACATTTGCTTCAGTGGCTACGGCGTGCGGACATTTGTTTGAATCCAATAAGGAAGCCATCTGAGATTATGTTGCGTTGTAGTTAACATGAAGTTTAAGAAAAAGAATAGACATTCCACGTGGACCAGGCAGCAGAAGGGACGCGAACCCGCACCCTTCGCTTTCCGGGCGAATGCACTGACCATTATGCTACCGCAGCCCTAATGGCCGTGTCAAATTATTTCTAGCCTTTCTTAAGCTGCAAGGCAGCGAATTTAAACATCGAACAGTTACATGCTTACAAAAATAAGAAGACGTTTTAAAATATGTAGCTAGTGAGTATATTGTTTTCATCTCTTTAAGGGGTTACACGCAATTGCAAGGCCAAAAAGGGCGTTTCTTATAGATTTTTTTCTGAATAGGGATTTCATTTTACAAATACAAGAGTATTCAAAAAACGTAATGGGGACTTCCTATTTCACTTGGGTGCTTTTAATTTTTAATAATAATAATTTACACTGCTCCTGTAGTCGGTCTCCTGGAGGACCATCAAAAAGAGGTGTCTGGTGGTGAGCAACATATCGCCGGTTTGGGTTATAAGAAATTAACAACCATAATATTCTATTAGTGGATGAATAAATCTAGGTATTGATCGAAGGAATAGACTTTTTTACTTTTGTCAAAATGGTAGCTTTGAAAAGAAAAAAAGAAAATTTTCGATCAAATTGTTTTCCTTTGATCAATTGTACAAGTGTATATGTAAGAAAGTTGTGTTAAAATTTCAGACCGATCGGTTGAGCCGTTTTTTTGAAATTGTGCTCACGGACATTGACCATACCGTTTTGAGAAAAACGCATTCAAAGTTTCAAAAGACGTTTATTTACGAACGTTGGTAGATCCAAATATGCGTGTAGGTAACCTCCAAGAATATTTGCCAGATTAATTTGAATTTTTTTTTTCTAGTAAACTTTTCTTTACATTTAAACATCTAGCAGTTAAATGCTTAAAAAATAAATAAAAACATAACTATAATTGCTATTTCTTCTTTCAAATGTTTAATACTTGAAAAAGTATTCATTTGACATTGTGGGTTACCTACAATGCGAAGAGATGGCGCTGCCTTGCAGCTTAAGGCTAGGAAAATTTCGACGCGGAGAATAGGGCCGTGGTAGCATAATGGTCAGTGCATTCGCCCGGATTGCGAAGGATGCGGGTTCGAGTCCCGTCCGCTGCCTGGTCCGCGTGGTTTTTTTTTTCTAGTAAACTTTTCTTTAGATTTAAACATCTAGCAGTTAAATGCTTAAAAAATAAATAAAAACATAATTTGAAATTTTCAGAGAATATAATCAATGTATGTATGTACATTTCCATTTCCGTGCTTCGGAAGGCACGTTAAGCCGTTGGTCCAGGGGGCCATTCGCCTAACGGAAATGCTTTGGAAAACGTTAACGCTTTCGATTTTATTTTGTTATTTCTGACCGCCGAAGGTTTTCAAATACCTCATGCTCATTTTTTTAATATTGCTATTACCAATGCAAAAGAAAAAAAAAGAGAAAAAAATGAGAAAAACCTCATTCGGCTAGAAATAACAAAATGAAATCGTAAGCGTTAGCGTTTTCCAAAGCATTTCCGTTAGGCGAATGGCCCCCAGGACCACTATGAAAGTTTCTTAACTTCAACGACGTCGGTCCACCTAACATAGAGACCGTACAAGTTGTAGACAACAGTTATATTTATGTATTCTACTAATATGATAAATCTGTAATAACAAAAGTGTTTAATTTAATTAATTATCGTGACGAAGATACTGGCAGCGTTCTCCCTTTGAATAGCTAGACTAATTCTTTGTCCGAGGTAGTAACTATATACCTATAAGGTGAAACTATATGTCTTATATGCTAAATGATGTAATGGAAGGTGACTTCAGAAGTATCTCTGAAGTCATTTTGCAATTTGACGACTCTGTATATAACAATACAGGGAGAAAAAAACAGTCCTTGCTGTGTTTCTTGTCGGTTCTTCTCAGTACAAGGTCTCGCGCCGTAGTTTTGCGAACCGATGGCGTAGCTTCTTGACCTTCTTATGTGCTTGTAACAGACCAGGAACTCTATTTTTGAATCACTCGTCTTGCGTCAAACGCTCGATTTCTACTAAATTTCATTCGACATAATTAATTCCGTATTTTTGAATCGCTCGAGTGCAACGAATGGGTGAGACCACTCGCTGCATGGCGAATGGTGGAGGCGAATGATAGAATAATTGTCAAATTTTTTGTGCAATTAGACGACGATAATCTATAATTGTCATGCTTTATATGAAACGACAACGAGAATTTTTGTTCGGTTTTCATTGCGGTAATTACCGGTTTTTATTTTTACTGCGTGAACTGAGTAAAATTTTATATTTCGTATTAAACAGGTAACACCGGTGACGAATGATTCAAAAAACGGAAAATCAGTATTATGCGCAATTATGCGACTTGAACATCGAAGGTGACTTATGTCACATTCGACGATACTATGTCAGACGAGTGATTCAAAAATAGAGCTCACGGACCAAGGGGCTCGACACCGAATGGGACAAAATCATATTCGGAGCCTAGACCCCTGTTCTAATTATATTAAAACTGTAAATGTTTGAGTAACAAACTTAATAGGTTAGTATGTAACAAACTACTTATAATATTTGGCGGACATTTTATATTTTGGTACCGGGATTATGATTTTTTTTTTATTAATATTATGAGTCATAGAATACTTTTTATCAGGGTAAATGTGAGGGACCTTGCGGGTGTTCGGAAACGGATACCGCCACATCACTCGCACTCCCGGTGCGCACTAGGAGGGACCGCGGTCCCTCATAATGCGCGCCGGGTGACCGGTGCAGGAGTATTGTCTAGTTTTTACGGTCGCCCTTGTGGCGGTCGCCTTCTTGGTGAGGTAGGGCCCCATTTGCTTCTCGGAGCACTTGTGTTCCCTGAAGCGGCGGAGAGGAGTCCCCGATAGCTTCGTCCGCAACCCTCGGTTGGCGAAGTATGCGTAATGCATTTACTAGACATTAAAAAAAAAAAGGTAAATCTGAGGGATGCTTACTATAAAATAAGTACTTAACTACATATACCAAAGTCGCGGGCGGAATCTAATAATCACACTAATCTCTTATCTATTAGACAAGTCCGTCCGTCCGTCTGTCTGTGGTGCTGTTTCAGCGGCCAAACCGTAAGAGATAGATAAAGAGAATATTTAAGTTATAAGTTAAGAATAGTCTGATAAGACTACAAACCGGATTTGAGTAACGTAGCACTTCCGGTTTTCGGGAAATCACGAATTTTTTGAAATTTTGTTTGGTTTCGTTTGCGAAACCAAACAAAATCTCCGAAGTTCTCATTTAATTAAATACATTTTTTTTAAATCAGGTTTTGGTGAACATTTGGTTCACTGGTTTGCTAGTATTATTATAAAGGTGAAGTTTGTGAGTGTGTATGTTTGTTACTTCTTCACGTCTAAACGGCTGGAGTGATTATAATAAAATTTGGTATGGAGTTAGCTGACACCCTGGATTACCACATAGGTTAGGTTTTACTGCGGGAAAATATCCCTAATAAACCACGGGTAACACCGCCGGACACAGCTAGTGCAATATAAGTCCTTAAGTAAGTACATATGCAGGCGAGATAATGCAATGTTTTCATATGGCGAAGCAAAGGTTAACTTTTAATTACGACTGCAAAGGTAGGCTTGGAACGCAGTGCGAGTCAAGTTACACAACCCATCATAACAAACCACTGCTGTATAATATAATGATGATTGGTCACATAATACCACTTGAAATCAGTTTCTTTGGCGTCATCGAAGCGGGTATACGCGTCAGTCGTATTTACAAGAAAAATATTTTAAAGGTTTTTTTGTCTGTGCCAAAAACAAGTTTGGATGTGAAACATATTTTTTGGAACTACCAAAGAGGTGAGTATTGAAAACTTTGTTTTTGGATCAAGAATCTAAATCGTATTTTTTGGTTTTAAATTTTTTTTTTAATAATTTTTAAATTTCCTATTGATAGAATATTGTATTGAACTCTTTCGTTAAGCTTTATTTACTTTTACTTTGTAGTAAAACCACAAAAAAGATTACTTGCTTCTAAACAAAACTAAATCACTTTGATTTTAATATAAAAAAAAACATAGTTAACAAAATATTTTCTTTACGTGGTATTGTTGTGTCATCTCGCATAGTGGACTAGAATGGGTTGTGGTTTAGGAAGAACAAATACTTAGTACGTACAATCTTTAAAACAAATTGTACATAAGTTATGTGAGAGATACTTAAGTTATGTGAACAAGGTAAGAAAACCGGTTTTTTATACAAAGTGACATGAAGTACACGACTGATTACCTGATTTACATTATTTATATATTTTTAAAGTTTGCAGCTTGATGAGTCTTCTCTTAAATTTTTACCAAAGGTCTTTCTTTTGCTGACTCGATACAAGAAACATTAGAATGCGTCACACCCACATTCTAATGTAAAAGAAAAAACAATATTTACACATAAATAAGACTATGGCTGCATGGCTGTGCCTTTGCCTTTCCCAATAGGGAAGAATATAACTAAAAAACGACAAACTTTCGGCTATTCTCTAGCTCAGGAAACGTACAACAGATAATTATACATTCCGTGTAAGCAAAACAGATGCATATACATATTAATAGTTGGTTGCTGACTGTATAGGTTTTTTTTCGTGAAGTAGGCAAATGACTCTACGTCTCTACCCCACCTGATGTTAAGTGGTAATAAAGTCCAAACGCGAAGATAGCTGGTACAGCAGTTATAAACTGCTGTACCAGCTATCTTCCATTCTCATTGTCGGCCTGCAAAAATGCTTATTCATGTCTCCCTTTAGAGAACCCAGATTGTAGGAAGGTATAGATATAAATAGGTATACTGCCGGCGACTCGCCGACAGAGCTATCAAAGATATACTTGCTCAGTGATGCTCCCTTGACCCAAAACACGCACGCAAGCATTTTTGCTCAGAATTGCCACCATGAGCGTGTGTCGCCAGTAAATGCCCATCGTGATGGCACACTAGCTTATAGTCCAGCGATAAAACTATCGGAAATATACACTCGCTTCCCGCCGATCGTCAACTCCTTTCTAGTTTCTAGCTCTACTCGCTTTTAGTTCATGACAACCTCGTGGCCGCGTGGTTTGTACGGGTTTCAAGGTGTCGCCTAATCGAGAGGCCCCTGGTTCGAATCCCGGTGGGGGCAGATGTTTGTGTGATGAACACGAGCTTTGTACACCATTCATGGATGTTTAAAAATGTATTTCTATACAAATATACTTATATTTGTAATGTATATGTATTCTATCTGTTACCCTAGTATCCCATAACACAAGCCTCACAGTGCTTACTTTGGGGCTAGGCTAATTGGTGAGAGTGTTGAAAATATTTATTATTTATTTATCGTTAGCGGTGGGACAAGTTCCTCAATCACTCTGGGTGTATTCCGAAATATACATCAGTATACTGGCCAGTGGTAATGTCGTCACGAATCCGACGCCATCTTGTACTGGTATGCTACCATATTTTTACCAGGAAAACGAATATGACGTATGGCCAAACGTGAGATGCATTCGAATTTAATTTTTTATTATTTAAAGAATAATAATGGCATCCGAGCAAAAAGAATTAATTTTAATTGATGAATTGAATAAAAAATCTTCTTTATTCGCACTCTTTTTAATATTTCGTCGATTTATGAGGTCAGTGCACTGGCCAATATATTTCCTAACAATTCACCAGTATAGCGCCTATTCATGATGTCATTAGCACTGGCCAGTATACTGGTAAGTATATATTACGGAATACACTCTATCTATGGTATTAAAATACATTGCGCAGTTTGAAAGATCTTAGCGTACAGGCCGCTGTCTGGCAGCGTCTTTGTTTTAAGTAGGTAGACTGTGTAAATAAAATATGCGTTAAATAGACATTTAACACCAATTAATTCGTTGGTGACCGCCATGGTCAAGTACTTACATTACACACAGGTTTACCTTGCCATGATAAGGCCATCGGTAATCTTAAAAAAAAACAATTACTTATTTGCCTTTTTTTTGAGTGAAACTTCTTTACGCATGAATTGGGGAGTTACGAAAGTGTGATAGGGCAAAGCGAACGGGAGTTTATTCAGCCTTCACGTGCGGGCCATCCTGCGCACGTCTGTGAAGTCGGAGACACCTGCCGTGGAGCCCTGGCTAGGCCCGGCCTAGCCTAGGCTGCTGGGTGCGGAAACGTGGAAGAATCCCAAAACGGGGATCCCGCGGCTTCGCACTAAGCAGCTAGGGTATTCGCAGGGTTTTTTAGCGGATATTATGCCGTAAAGCGCCCGTATGAGTTACGGGGTCCTCAGTGGGCAGCCACTGCGGGGGGGGTGCCATAAAGCTTGCGGGAGCCAGGTGTGAGGTCATTTCGGCGGTGTGCCTTTTTTTTTTAGAGGTTTTGCCTGCGTCACAAAAAAAAGGCAAACGGGAGTTGAGTTGATAAACAAGAGAAAGCAGTGCGCGCGCACATTGTCTTTCTCTTTTTCTCTTATAGCTAGTAAATGAAATATGTATATGTACATACATGTTGTGTATATATATATATATACATACAGACGGAGCTTAAGAAGTTTCACTTTAGCTGTGTGGTTATAAGCATACTCGTTTTTTTTACAATTGCCACGCTATACCACTTCTGCGAGGATCTCCAGGTTCAATCTTCTTTGAATTAGTAATAAATATCAGTATCAACCAAGAAACAGTGAAAGCTTCAAAATTCTGGCCCGACATAGATTTCGATAGTAAAATATTAGTACGTGATGAATAAGGTTTTAAAATTATAGATACATTATACACGATACAATATATACTCGTGCACAAGGATTGACATTGATTTGCACTTCAGTTTACTGGCCTTAACCTCACCTTATGAGACCTTTGACTTAAGAGGTTTAAAGATTTATCCCTATAATTTAAATTCTTAGAGTACCGAGAGACGAACTTCTTAGCAATCCATGGATTCATCGTGCGGGTGCCGGGTCCATCGTGGGGGAGAGAGAGAAACTCTGAGCAGTTCCCGAATTCGCGACCCAGGTGTAGATTTAAGGAGCCCACCTTTGAGATGCGCATCAACGCTCACCTTCACTGCTCAAGTTGCCCGCCCTTCCTAACCAAAGGAGATTGCTCAAATTGGCCCAAATGCACAAAAAATATTGACATACACGGTAATTCTTGGGGTAATTTTTAATTTAATTTACAGTCATTAGATTTCAATGGACACCTTTGTATAATATATTTACTTTAAAAAGGACTTTTAATTTTACCGGTTTGGAAAACATACTAATCATTTTTAATGGCTATGGGTGTAGTAACATTCAGCCAAAGACTGATCGAAGTTGTTTATATTACATAAAAACAAATCTATTTTGTAAAGATCGATAAAATAACTCATTTTTTTATTATACTGTGGTATTAATATCCACAACTATATTATCATTTTCACTAGATGCGAATGTGGTCAGACAATTATTATAGATGGTAGGCGACATCATAAAGTATATTGCCATACATTTTTCGCCAAACACTTCCATAAACACATTATAATCTGTATTTAAGATAGACTTTAAGGTATCTATCTATGGGCCTACGTTCCCTGACAATAAATTAATAAATAAATAAAATTATAATTAATTATGTGATACACTAAAAATCTAAAATATGGTTATCTTAAAAACATAACAAAAATAATGAAGCTCCTAAATATAGAACCTAAATCTCTTAGCTTTCTTTGGTTAACGAGAGTTTAAAAATTCTCTCTAATCTGTGGTTCATTCACAATCATCACACAGTTTATGTCACAGAGTACTTTATTATAACCGGAAATGACACCTGATTTAAGAAGTTACTCTTATGCATTATCTTTAAAAATAGGCAACTATCTGTTAATCTACATGCTCTATATACCTGAATCTAATCCATAATTTCGGTACTTGGCTTGATTTCCCTAATTTACTATATAACTTATTTGTTTTTTAATATTTTAATATGTTCAGTGTATATACACTGAACATATTAAAATACCCTTAAAATACCCCTGAGAACTTCTATTAACCATATGGTTAATAGAAGTTCTCAGGGGTGTCCGTCAATAATATTCGTTTCTACAGTAATTTATATATAATTTCGAATCTAGGAAACAATTTTTCATGATTATTGGTCTTTAGGCCAAACATGTATGGAAGCTGAGCAATCTCCTTTGATAGGAGCCTGCTAGTGCAGCCTTAGTTACTCGTTCCAAAATTGAACTTACTACAGTTCTCGACAGTCCTAGTCCTAGGTCTTTAAGAAGGTTATATACAGATTTTGCTGGTATACTTATCGCTTCTACTTCTACCGCATATAAATTACCTAGATAGCCATTTTAGTAAGTTTGTTGGTTAGATCGTAATATTTATTCAATTTTATTTTATTATTAATAACATAAAAACAATGTGTTTCGAAATGGTACCTATAATTATAAAATTATGGCGATTCTAAACCTGATTTGTGCCGTCTTATAAATATATATAGGTACAGTGTAGGTTTGCCTACCTGCTATTAAAAATGTTGCTTTAGGTATTATTTATTTAAATTAACTGGATGACGTAAATCCACAATCTCATAATATAAATATTAGGCCTGTTACAGACTACAGACTTTGTCGAACAGATCCTGCGCCATTAACACCTTAAAAAATATTTACAAAAAGCGCTGATGTTACACTACAAAAACTAGCTTTCTACGACCCGCAACATAGACAGATTTTATCTTGTTGCTAAAAGCCAGTAAAAAATTATTTCAATTATAAAGTTCAAGAATGAAAATCAAAGTATATATTTTTATCTCCTTATCATAGATAAATGATTGGTCTCGCTTCAC